TGCGCTCTTCCCAGGTGAGGCACATCAGTCGCTGGTGTCTGGACGGCCACTCACTGCGGCTGCTGGCTGCTCATGCTGGCTGCTGGTTACATACAGTAGCCCATGGCAACCCACTGCCACAGGGGCTGCAGCCTACGCCGTCGCCGGCGACTCATGGCAGCCCAGCTCCAGGTTGAGCTGTTGTTCAGCATCTTAGCTGTAGAGGGCAGTGTCACTGGCCCTCATATGTGGGATCCGAACCGGGGCCCTCTGGCGTCCCAAGCCAGTTCTTAACCATTGCGCCACTTGGCCGGCCCCATATTAACTGATTTTAATTTGACTGGAGTGGGGCTAATGAGACAGGAACCCCAGCACCTAAGTTCATGATTGAAATTGGGGGGCAGGGAGGCTGGGTGAGAGGAGAGAGGGGAGGGCAGTGGGGCTGGGTTTGCCCACCTTGTACTTCTTCCTCTTCCAACACAGGAAGGCCTTCTCCTTGAACTGGTTGTTGTAGGCCCGGTTGTTGGCCTTTACCTCCCAGGTAAATGCTGAAGCCAGAAAGAGCGGGATGTCACATGGGGCACAGACGAACACCACCTAACGACACCCCAGAGGAGGGCAAATGGGCCCCAAGGGGACCCAGGCGCTGGGGACGCCCAGCTCACGGCCTGCGGTGTGGGAGCTGGTAAACAAATGCCACCCAGGGCCAGTCCCTAGGCTCAGAGGACAGGCCCTGGGAGATCCATTCATGCCCATTCCTTCTACAGAAAGTAGGTAAACTAAGGCCTGGTGCCAGGCTTCAAGGTGTGCGAGGCTGCATGCCCAGCACAGGTATTTCAGGTCTGCAGCCCCTGATTCCTAAGTCTAGCATTCAGTCATGGGGTTTGGGACTATTTGTAACCCAGTAAGAACCCCTGCTCCCCAGTCCCCACATTTCAGCCACCACATTCTACAATGCCCATTGGCTTCCTCTGCGGACCCCGCACCCCACGCTTGGCCCCAGAACATGCACCTGAGTTCTTCTCCTCCTCAAGGTCCTCACGGTAGGCCAGACTGCCCATGGTGGTGGGGCTGTTGCGGAGAGGAGCCCAAGGTCACACCAGCAGTCCTGCCCTTGCCAGACTTTGTCCATTACTCTGCCTGCTCCAAAATGTCACCTCCCACGTACATTGGATGGTCCCTCCCCTGGCTCTGAAGTTCCAGACACTGGCTGTGTGTTCTTCCCTGGGTATCTGAGGCCCCAGCTGATCCCCAATCCTGCAACAGCTCCATGTCCACTAGTCCCCCACCTAGCATGCTGAGGTTGCCTGCCTCACCTCCCATTACAGCTGGTTCCCCAGGAAGAAAGATTCTATATCTGCTGCTGCCCACCCCCAGGGCCGCCCTTGGTGCAGGCCACCATCGCCTCTCCTGGGATGGCCACACTTACCTCCTCCTGGTAGCCCTACTGCCCCCTCCTGCCCCAATCTCCAGATGGTACATAATGCCCACCTCAGTAAGGGGATCAATCAGTGTTGGTTGACTGCCTACATGGGGCCCCAGGGTTATACGTTATATCTCAAAGGGTATATAGGAGGACCAGGTTGCTCTGAGAGGTCTCATATGGTCTCAGGGCAGTTAACCATGATGGAGGCAGACACCAGACCTTCCACAAAGCCTGGAACCTCCCCGCTGGCTAGTTGATGATCACTCCTTCAATTGCCAGGAATTTGAGTCTCACCAGGGGGCCCTCAGCAGCTCCCAAATTGATCCCCCACCCCCTAGCACTCATCAACTCTGTCCTCTCCAAGCCCTTGCTGGGGCTATTCCCTTTACCTAGAGCACCCTTCCCACATGCCTGGTCACTGCTTTCTCACCCTTCTGGTCTCAGCTTATACATCTCAGACGGCCCCAGCTTCTTCAAGCGCCTCCTCTGGGCTCCCCCTCTGACTGGGGTGTCCCCCATTCCAGGTCTCATTACCCTCTCTCTGCTTCTTTCCCTGTCTGAGTCGCCTGCTGAACTGGGAACTTGCCAGGGCAGGGACAGCTGGTATTTGAGTCATGGGTGTCCCCAGGGCCCATAAGCGAGGACCTGGTTCAGGGCCTGCTCTGATGCTTCTGGGAACCTGAACAGGTCCCATGCCCATTCATCAGACGAAGAGAAGTGAGGCTCAGAGTGAGTGAGGCTTAGCCAGTGAGACCCAGAACCCAAGGAGACCGGGGGCAGAGCAGATGGGATTGGAGAGGTGCTGGAATGACCAAAATTCACCCAAAATATATCTGGGACCGCAAGATACCCCTTCTGCTTGCCCCCTCCTCAATCCCACTCAGCTCATTAGAGCGCCCCATTAGCCCCCGGAAGCCCCAGCCGCAGGGCGCAGGGTTCGAGGTCCAGTACCCCGGAGCCTCCCTGGACCGGGAGATCCGGGTCCACACCCCTCCGGACCCCGCCCCGCGCGAACCGCTAAGGGATCCCCCTGCGCTGCTGCAGCGACCTCCTGCCCTTTCTCCCTCAGAGAGGGTGTCCGGGCGCCCGGAGACGCACAGCAGCGGCAGCGCTGCCGCTCACCTGCTAGAGGAGGGGTGGGCAGCGTCGAGCTGCCTGGGGAGGTCCGCGGGCGTCCAGGGTGGCGGACGTGGTGTAGTTGTTAGCCCAGTGCCAACGGGTCTGAAACGGGCGGTGCGAGCGTTGGCGCGGGGCGGTGAGGGGCTGAAGGGCGTGGCTGAGGCCGAAGCCGAGGGCGGGGCCAGTGAAGGTTTAGGGCGGGGCTGTGGGTGGGGCCATGAAAGAAGGCGGGGGCACGGTAGAGGCGGGGCCTTTCAGAGAAGGCCAGGGTAGGGGCGGGGCCAGGGCAGAGCAGAGCCTGGGAGGGTCTCTGGAGTGGTGGCCATGTAGGCGCGAGCCAAGATCCAGGGGTGGAAGGGTGTTAGGGTGGGGGCGGTCTGGGGCTGCGGTGGGCCAGTGGCCCGGGCGTCGCATAGCGGAGCGGGATGAGGGCGTCTTAATAGCGCCGGGGTATTAAGGGGCCTTTCATTAGGGACGGGACCTTGTAAGGCTGGGCCCAGGAGGGGTGGATTGGAGCCAGCCGAGGTTGGGCAGGGCCCATCTAGGGCCAAGAGAGGAGGAAGGACGCACAGGTAGGTAACCGCAGGTACCTGCCTAGGCTTGAGTCTGAGCTGCGTGCCTGGGTTTCCACATCTGCTATGCGCCGTTGCAGTGCTGGGCGCTGGGCTGGGAGAGGCCGTTAAAGCCACCGAGACCTTCCTAACGCCAGGAGGAAGCCCACAGGGCTCTGTCCCGGTGTGTGCCCGCCCCGCCTGCAGCCAGGGCTCTTGGGGGGAACCTTCCTTAAGGAGGTGATGGGGGTGAGAGACAGAGGTGAGGCTGGGACTGCCTCCAACCAGAGATGGGGGAAGCTAGAGCAAGGGCTGGAGTGTAGAAGGGGCTATTAAAGTTAGGGTCCCCCCTGAGAATGAGGGCTCAGGGGGAGGGGCAAACTTGGGGGGCATAAGGGAAATGATTAAGCTGCGTTTTTCATATTTTCACTTTTAGGAACCTACTGAAGTCTGGAAATTAGGAAGGCAGTGGGCCCTGGGCACTTTCCCCACCCTTTCCCCCCAGCCTTGGGATCCCTCCCTGTGGCCCAGCCTATGTCTGACTGTGCCCTAGTCTCCTCTGGGGCTGGGATCTCTGAGGCACCAAAGCATCACCTATTAAGTAGATGTTGAATGAATGAGTGGGTCTCAGAGTGATGACTGCACACAGGATCCCACCTCCCTCATCACAGCAGCAACCTCCTACTCAAATTTCTTTGGAAGCTGGTCTGCACATTCTGCTTGGCCTCTGGAGGTACTAAGTAAACCTCCCCGTTCATTCATTCACTCAACAAATGTTGATCCAACTCAATGGTTAATGAAAAGAACCTCGGGGTGGGGCTTGAACAAACTGTCCTAATAGCCTTTAGAAGAGACCTTGCTGGGTGCAGCTGTGCAGAGTGGGTCAGGGGACCCAATTTTCCCCCGTGGGGTAGGTAACAGAGGGAACAGGATCTTCCCAGGAGGCAAGAAATGGGTTTTGGTCTTCAAGGGGCAGCAGATTTGGCAAGCTGAAAGCATGCATACCTTCCTGAGCTGGGGAGCTCCTCCCCCAACTGCCCACCGCTTCCCCTCCCTCATTGTGCCCTGAGGAGGGGGTGCAGACACAACACAGACTGGGGGCTTCTGTGAAGCCACAGGCACCACATATTTAAAAAACAACTCATTTACCAAAGAGGCAGGAGAAAGTCAACTGGTTCCAACAGCCCCAGAGAGATGTGACAGTGGTAGGAACCTGACTAGAACAAGCCCCAACCCCCTCCAGGGACCCCAGTACCCAGAGAGGAAACCGACGTAGCCCTAGCCCAGGAAGTCCCTAGGGAGGGGCTGCCATCTCCTCAGCCTGGGATCCTGCCCTGTTGGCCTTAGCAAAAGCCCAGAAGTGTGGCAGGGGCCTCCTCCCAGAACTTTTGTGCTCTGGCATCCAGACCTAGGGCCCCCCAGCATCTCTAGCCCACGAAGCTTTTTCTGGTTTCACTTTTCACTTTGAGTAAATTAAAAGCTGAGAACTGAACAGCCCTTGCCCCCCACCCCCAGGAGCAGAACAATGCACAAATGGGGTAGATTCAGTGCACTGGGCACACACACATTTCAGGAGCGGCAGATGACACAGTGGGCCTTGTCCTCCCTGCCCTTTCCATGGTAGATTGTCAGACATGCAGGCACACTCAGAGGATTTGGCTACTGGCTCCACCATCATAGCACCCCAGGGGGCAGCAAGCATGACAGGCCCTAATCCAGGCTGCCCAGAGCCCTGGGTCTGCTCGGGAACTCTGTCCCCAGGGCAGGGGGGCGGCCTGGGCACTGCGGCTGGCTTTCCTGCAGGTGAGCAAGGTTTTATTCCTGCTCCCCCTTTGGGGCAGGTTCTGATCACGGAGACAGTGACCTCCACTGAGTGTGTGTGTGCAGCCACACCAGGCACCAAGACCACCACCAAACCCATGAGATAAAATCCATACAAACATTTATTGTCCCTGCCTGGGGGTAGAGGAGAGGGACTCAGGATACTGGGGGGCGGGGCTGTGGGCCTTGACAGACAGCCCCCAGGGGAGGCGAAGCTCCAATGGGAAGTGTCCAGAGGCTGAGGGCCTGGGAGCATCTGGAGGGCCAGGCCCTGGGGGCTGGGGGAGGGGCTGGCTCGGTTCCCAGAGGTCAAGGTGTTGGGGTGGGCTGGGGGAGGCCAGTTCCCACCCACCTAGGCCCAGGCTGGGCTGGACTCTTGGGTCCTGGTAGCTGTCAAGGCGCTGGGTGACCACTCCCACCCCCCTCCACCCCATCCCCCAGGAGGGAAGGCAGCACCAGGGTCTTACTCCTCCGGGTGGGGGAAGACAACTGCGCAAGTCATCAGGTTTAAATTAAAAGTAATAAAAATAACAATACAAAAAAAAAAAGACAACCCCTGTCTAAACAAACCCACAACAAGCCCACTTGGCCCATGTGATACCCTGGCAGGTAGGTAAGGGGCGAGGAGCAGGTGGTTTCAGTGACTGGGACACAGCAGGGCCCAGCTTGTGTGCCGGGCGGGTGGTCCCGGCCGAGGCCTGTCGTCGAGTCAGCAGCAGTCTCTAGAAGACAGAGGTCTGGGACAAAGAGGCAGGGAGAACATGAGGGGCCTTGAGGGTGCTGGGTCTCCAGTCTTGGCCACGTGGATAGGGTTAGCTCTCGAGATTTATTGCACTGTTTTGGAAGAGGCCTGGGACTAGAGGATGGGCCAGGGCAGCGGGAGAGGCAGGAGGCGGGTGGGCGGCAGTCACCGCTTGGTCTTGGCGTCTTCTCGAACCTTCCAGATCACCAGGTGCATGCAGGCGCTGGCATCCTCACTGGAGCTGTGGCCGTCCACTGTGGAATGGGCAGAGGGTTAGGGTGGGCCAGCCCTGGGCTTTGGCCCGGCCCAACCCGGCCCGCCACTCACCATTGTCCTGGATGATCTGTCTGAGGTAGTCAGCCATGAGATTCCGCAGGGAGCGCTTGTAGGGGAGGCCCAGGCGGTGAGGGAAGAGCACAGAAGTATCCACCACAGTGCTGTGGATGACCTGTGGGAATGGCCAGCCCATCAGAGACCTCAGGATCCAGGGCCCCAGGAGGGCTGGGCTTCAAAGGTGCCTGTGGCTTGTGGGCATTCCAGAGCAGCCTGCCCAGTCACTGTCCCCACAGCTCCACCGGCCCTCTGAGGACCGAGACTAGGTGGGGACCAGGTTACCTTCAAAGCCAGCAGGTCACTCTCCAGGCTGTGTCCAATGAGGATGGTGTCGGCACTGAACAAGCTCAGCAGGACAGCCTGGACGTCCCGGAGTGAGATGCTTGTGTCAGCGAGGTCAGCCTCGGTTACCCCCGAAAACCTGGGGTAGGAGGGCAGGGGACTTAGGGTGGCTGGAAGGGCACTAGGAATCCCTAACCTGGGAGCTAGGTTGGGGTCAGGGAGACTGGCCCTGGTGGGGCATGGGGTCCCAACCCTGGGATCCCAGGTCCTTGAGGGCCTGGCCGCACCTCGTGTTGTAGTCGACGACCTCATTGTCTGGCTTGACGAAGGTGTCGTAAACGACCTGCATGTCGGTGTCCACCACTGTGATGCGTGTCAGCTCCAGGCCATATGTGGTGTAGGACTGCGGGCAGGGAGGACACAGCTCAGACACAGCCCCAACATGGCCCCACAGACTGGACATCCCCAGCCCAGTGCTCACGACAAGGCTGCCCCTGGACCCTGAACCTTGCAGCAGATGCTGGTCCTGGAAGGTCTCTGGCCTGGGGCCAGCATCTCTGGGGCTGGAGTAGTCGTGAACCAGGCACCCTTCCCCAAAGCCCTCACTGCACTCACAGGGCCCACACAGCCTCCAAGTGCAGAGGGGGGCCTGAGTAAAGCCAGCTATGTCAAGAGCATACGGTGTGTGCTGGGGGTCAGGTGACAGCATCTGCTTGGTGACAGGACAAAAGCCCTTTGTGAGCAGATGCTGGCAAGGCTGAATGAGCCTCAGAGCTACAGACAGCATGACCCACACAAAGGCAAGGACTCGGCTGTTGTTCACGGCTCTTTATCTGCTCTTTATCCTAAAGAGCCCAAAGCCTCAGGAAGGGGAGCCAGGATAGCACCACAGAGCAGCAAGACCCCTGCAACCTGCAGGGGCCACGCGTCCTCAGCAAGTTCCTGTGGTTGTAGCCGGCTGACTCACCATTTCACAGTCGAGGGCGTAGATTCCGGGGTGAGCATCTTCTGGAAGCTCTTTATCAAAGGTCTTCACGAACCCTTCCAGATTTTCCTTGCGTCCGTCCTGCACGTGTTGCTGAGGGTGAGGAGAAGGAAGGTGAAGGTGGCACGTTTGGAGGGCAAGGCAAGGAGGGGGCCTCAGGAAAAGCCAACAAGGCTGGGCTCACAGGGCTAGGCCAGTGCTGGGGGTTTTCATGGACCAAACTCCCCTTTCCAAGGCAGATAAACCAAAGGACAAGAAGCAGACAGCTCAGGGGGACCAGCTCCAGCCAGGACAGGGAGGGGGCTTCCCAGGATGAGGAAGCATCCATCGAGCAGGACCCAGGAGACATACCTTGGCGACTTGGCAGCCCACAGAGCCGATGGCAGCCGAGCAGCACATGTACTGAGTCTCCCAGCCACCAACCGCTGAAAGGGAAACAGTGGGGTCAGTGGCTGTCCCCACGCCTCCTACAAGGAGTTGCTGACACTCACTTTGCCTGGGCTGGCAGGGGCTTCCCAGCAGAGGGGACCCCAGCCCTGGATTGAAGGTGGCCCCTGTGAGGCTGGGGATTCCAGCCCCCTTTCCGGGGGGTGGGCACTGGGCCCTACAGGGGAGTGAAGATTTGGGACAGGAGCAGCCTCACAACCCTGCACGGGCCCTTCCCCAAGTTGGCAGTGAGGATATGTGCAGGTATGGGTACCACGGGGGCCTGCCCGTGGGAAAGCTGCACCCAGGGAACCCTCCACATGTCCCCCAGAGGTGTGTCTGCAGGCAGCCATGGGCACTCGGGCACTCTGGGAGACCCATGAGTCCCCAAGGGTGGGAAGGGTGGGAGCCGGGCCACATAAGCCACTAAGTGAAACCAGCAGCTGCAGGACAGGACAAACCCTTTGTTCCCGAACACCCACGCATTTCTACAAGCGCTTATGCAGAGGAAGGGCGGGTGGGGGCTCCAGGCTGTGGGAGGCCTTTCTTTTATCTGCGTCTGAACATGTGACAGGAAGGTCTTTATGTTACTTTTGTCATAAAGTACAACAAAGGGAAAGAAAATGTAAAAGGGGTGGGGCGGGGCAGAGAGGAGGGGGCCTGCCGGGGTCTCACCTCGGTTTCGCCGGAGCCGCCCCCAGTGATAGTAACATTCTTCTTCCCGTACACAGTGGCCAGAGGGGGACACGAGATACTCCGTGCCACAGCGGCAGCAGACCCTACAAGAGGCTATGGGGTGGGGACAGTGGACAGAAGGGTGAGGTGTCAGGCCCTCTGTCTGCACCCGCCCGCCTGTGCTTTTCCCTCTACTAGGCAGCCTTCCCCTTGCGCCCTCTGTGGAGCATGGGTGGCAGGAGGCAACTCACGGTCCTTGGGGGGCTTGTCCTCAGCAGTGAAGATGACAGCACCCCCTGGTCGCTCAGGGTGCAGGAAGGGGTAGCCGTTCTCCTTGAGCTGGTCCTCGGTGAGCAGGTATTCTTTGAGGCGGCCATACAGGGTGGCCCCTGCAAGTAGACAACCAGGAGAAGTGGTCAGCCCGTGCCGAGGCTGGAGCTGGTATGTAAGGGGTCAGGGAGGGTGGAAGAGTGCCCAGTCCCGCTGTGTCCCAGATGGCTGGGCTGGCCTCCAGAGCCAGACTCACCTTTCAGATCCTCAACCCGGGGGCTGCTCGAGCGACTGATTGAGAAGCTGGTCTTGGCGGCCAGCTTGCCCCCCAGCACTACCTCATGGGACACAACCCTCCGGCCACTGGTTTCTGGAAGGGGGTGAGGGGAAGGGTAAAGCAGGCTCAGACTCCCTCGTCCCTCCCAAGTGCTCCCCCACCTCCACAGTGTTCTGTTCCCAGGAAAGCCCCACCACTGAGTCAGGTGAGGCCCGACCTCATGTGGCAGTCACCCAGCCCCCACCTTAACTCAGGACCAGCAGGCCTTGGCTGCCTGGACGCACCTCTGTCTCCCCTCCATCTCCCCCTGGGTGGGGGTTTTGCCCTCGTAGGGGAATGGAAAGAATTTAACATGAGATCTAATGGCCGTCTATGGGGAGGGGGGGAGCGGGCAGGCTGAGAGCAGAACAGGGAAGCGCCCACTGATGGCTTAATGCGCCCTGGAGAGGCACTGTGAACGCCTTCCAGGGTTAATGCACAGAGCAGGCAGGCAAGCCTCACACTTTGAAGAGGCCACCCCATTAGCGAGCAGACCCTAGATGGAGAGACCCCAGCTGGAGAAGGAGGAGGGTGCTTAAGAGCAAGAAGAGGCTGTTCTCAGGGCACGAGAACAGCTAAGACAGAGCCTGACAGTGGGGCCTGTCTGAGAATCTCACAAGGAGGGTCGCAGCCACCCTCTGCTAGAGGTGTGGGCCTGAAACTTCTAGACGCAACACCTGGGCCACCCTGTCCCACCCAACTTACTGCTGAGACCTGGCACAGTGCTGGGCACCAAGCCCCGCAGCTTCTTGAGGGTGTTCACGGCCACATTCAGGTAGATGTTCTTGCTAGGGCTGCGGTCATATGCCACCTTCTCCTCGTTCAGCGCCTGGGGATGACACACCACTCAAGCCCTGCAGTCCTGGACATCCCAATGGACAGTTCCAGCCCCTCCATCAGGGACTGGGCCCCACACCCCCAGGTGGCCAGCCACCACCTCCCAGGGTCACATACCTTCTCTATGGCTTCCTGGTTGGAGGAGCAGAACTTGAGACATTCCTCAATAAACAGGTTGAGGTATCGTTGGCGGATGACAGTGGGGACTTTGCCCCCGAACTCTTTTGGGATAATGGGCTTCTTTAGACTCTGGAGGGGACACAGAAACAGTGGAGGGTGGCACACCCTTGCCTGGTCTCTGCCATACTTCTCAGAACCCCCGGCAAGTCCCCCACACAGGGGGAGCCTACTAGAAACTGGGCCTCCGTGACCACAGGGGTTGCCCACAGGGGATGACAGGACCACAACAGTATTGACAAGAGGGGAAACTGAGGACAGGGGGAGGGGGAGAGGAAACTGAGGACTGTCCTCTGTCTCCACTCAGTGTTTCTGTAAACTAAAATTGCTCTAAAAAGGGAAAGGCTGTAAATTAAAGGGACAACAGAGGGGCAGGAGGAGGGGAAAGCAAACCTGTGCTGCTAGGTATCATGAGTGGGGCGGAGCAGTTACCTGTAAAGATGGGCTGTGCGCCACGCGCTTGGGGGTGACGGTGTTGGTGGTTTTGGATGCCATGCCCGACAGCGTGCGTGTCTTCAAGGGCTGGCTGCCTGGCTCGAGACCATTGGGAGGCTGGCTGCTGCTGGCCGCAAGGGTCCTCTTGGCACCTGTGGGGGCTGGCGGAGGACAGGGGACATGAGCGCAGAAGGACAGCATGCCCATCACCGAGCTACAGAGCACTAGGTGGCCACGGCCATTCAGCATCAGCAGGATGTGCATCTCGGAGCACAAGGGGAAGGGCCGGGGGCGGCAGCGCAGGCTGTGGAAGGACATTAGGATCTATCTGCTTTGGGGCAAGTCCATCGAGAGCGGGGACACAAAAATGAGGCTGTGGAGGCCAGTGGGGTGGTCTGGCGAGTGTTGGGGGGTGTGGGGAGCCTCTGCCACATGTTCTGGCCCCGACTCCGAGGCATTGACGTCTGAGGGAGGAAAGGCCCTGGCTCCTGGGCTAAGTAAGGACCAGAGGGTCTGGGATGCCTGGCCCGGAAATTGCGACCAGCTGGACTGCCCACCACTGCCTCTATGTTCTGCCTCTCCCTTTGATGAGGTCACAAATGAGACAGTCTCCTGTCCCCAGGGAGGAGGGCTCAAGGCGGGGGTGGGGGGCTGAGGAAGGTGCATCCCCAAGTGTGTGTGCAACAGGTCTGACTAGCTCTGAGCCTGGACTTGGCCCTGATGAAGGGACAGGAGCAGATGAGGAGACCATGGCACAGAGCAGAGGGAGGGCCCAGGGCCCCGGCCCCTGAGTCCTACACCATTGTTGGCTTTACAGGCCACGCAGGAAGGAAGAAAGATGTCAACCAGGTGGAATGTGCACTTTTCAGTTTTTTTTTTTTGTTGTTTTTTTTTAGCTGAGCCATCCCGCCACCTGTTGGCAGCTCACGGCTGCTCAGCTCGGGCTGACTCGAACCGCTGTTGCTCAGAGCTCAAACTCTTGAGCGAGCTCTTAACCAACTGAGCCACTCAGCCGGCCCTACTTTTCAGTTTTGGGGCTCACACAGACACACTTTCCTGCAGTTCAAGTGTGCAGCATCGGATAGGACTCAGAAACTCCAGGACAGCCTACTGGCTCAGGAGAGCTAGGCAGCAGCTAGGAATTTGGGTGCCGCAGCGGTGACCACAGACGGCCAATGCATTGGGCAGGCTTATGAGACTAGATATGTCTCAAATACACACAGTTCAGGGGCATCTCCCGTCCCTGGGCTATAAACCTACAACCATGCCTGTCACTATCAAGTTCTAACTCAGGAGCTCTGGGAGGGAGGGAGGGAGGGAGGGATCAGAGCCTGGAGATGCCAGGGAAAACCAGGGAAGGACTGCATGTCTGTATTTGCAGGACCACCACATGGGGCCCACCCACCCCCCAGCTAGATACTAGAGGGGTGTCTCTGAACTAGCAGCAAAAACATCCCAGAGTGGTGCCGACCTTTGTGCTGGGGAGGCCAAGCCTGCATCTGAAGAGGCCTCCAGGTGGCTCAAGCAGCCCCACCTGGCACATTTCCTCAGCTCCAGGTACCACCAAGTAGAGACACACCACTGAGTATGCAGCCCAACGTTCTGACAAGGCCCAGAGGGAAAAAGTGCCCCTCAGAGCAGGACAAGAAACCAGTACAGCTGCAACCCCTCCCCCAGACCAGCTTCAATTCAATCAAGGCCTGAGCCTGGGCCACTCCTGGGGAGGAGCCTGGGGCCTCAGCCCTGCATACTTACCCCAGGACGCTCCCCCTTCCCAGCACCACTGTCTGGAGCCCAGTGCCCACACTCAGACCAACTCCTGCCAGGCCACTGGCCTCTAACACCCTAGGAACCTGGGGGAGGCAGGGAGGCAAAGACCAGGCAGGGACAGAGAGGGGGGGCCACAGAGTGACCTCTGGTTCAGGGCCTTGGAGGGAGGTGGGAGGTCAGTGCAAAAGAGGCTTGGGTCTGGCAGACATCCCTCAGACTCTCCACAGCCAGCCCCATCCTGCGAATACCAAAGCCCTGAGAAGTCCAGAGCTGCTGGGCACTGTGCCAGGCCTGCTCTAGCCTCCCACTAACAGTCCGGGAGACTATCCCATTTTAGACAAGCACACAGACCCAGCCAGGCCTCACTCAAGGCCACTACCGCCAACACAGTGGGAGCCTGGCCACCATAGACCCCTGCCTTGGGCCTCACCTGTAGCCAGGCGGGGGTTGGGGACGTGGGCTATCCTCCTCTTCTCACCCGGGGCTGAGATGTGGACAGAAGACAGCTTCTCGGCTGGCCGCTGGGCAGCCTGGAGCCAACTGGCCGACTCCCTCTGTGCCTGCTGAGCCCGCCTGTAGCACACCTCCTGGGCGGTTGGTGGCCGGACAGGGGGTGCCGGGCCTCTCCTCACGGGCTCCAGCTGGGTGAGGAGATATTCCGGGGCACAGCTGTATGTCAGAGGCACCCAGAGCAGGCCGCCAGGGGTTGCAGGCTGGTGGTAGGACCATGGGCTGGGCAGTAGGGGCTCCAGGGTTGAGGCTGGGCAGGACACCTCCAGCTCTGCCTTACGAGCTTCCAGATGCCCTGGCAGGAACAGCTCAACACTATGGCCCTCAAACTCACGTTGTCACATTGTCTGGGTGCCAGTGTGGTCCTGCTCTCCCAGCCTCTGGCTTCTGAGAGGCCAAGCCATGCCCTCAGCCCTGATATAGGCACAGGGTGGGTGGGAATCCGTGCCCCCAATTAGACTGGCACATTGATCCAATCCCACTTGATCTAATCTTCTCTGACTGCTTTCCAGAATTCCAGCTCTCCTTTGGGACAGAATCTAAGAGAGCTTCTAGGTACACAGCTTGGGGCCTATCCTCCACCCTCTGTGCTGACAATCTGTCTTGGGGCCACAGGGGAGGGAGCCGAGGCTCAGAGGGGTCTGGCCAAGATCACACAGCACAGCTCAGAGCGAGACAGGGACCAGGCAGTGTGACGGTGAGAGAGCTCACCCACATCTCACTCTCCCTGCTCTGGGCCCTGCTCCGGGCCCTGCTCCCCACAGCACAGAGCACAACTCGGACTGGAGTGGACGTGGGCCCAGGCACTTCCCCGCCAGGACACAAGGAGTGCTGGACCCACATCTGCCAAAGGAACCTATCTGGTTCCACAGATGGGGGTCTCTGACCTCCTTCCCCCCTCATGTGGGACACCAACGTGGACCCTTACCTCCTTGCCATGCTTAGACAGATGAGAGATCCTCCTCTTTTGCCCAGGGAACAAAGTGGTCTGACCCGACTGTTCCTTGTCCTCGGCCTTCTCTTCCTTGGGGGGCTGGAACACACATGTGTCCCTCAGCAAGGCTCCCTCCCCTGGCCTCACCACCCACATCAACACAATGACTCCCAGAGGAAGTGGGGTGGGAAGGGTGGCTCAAGAGGCCATGAGATGGGGGTCTTCACCTCCACCCCAGGAGGTGCTCCCAGCCCTGCCTCACACGGAGGAAACAGACTCAGTGCACCCCAGCCCAGGCCAGCCGAAGTCCTGAGCCTACCTCCCAGGCCTTGCTCAGGGCAAGTTCAGCAGCCGTGCCCCAGCCCTTCCTGGACCACCTGCCTCCTGTTCCCCTCCCTCGCCCACTCACCTACCTACCTACCCACCCTGCCCAGAGCAAGGCTCAAAAATGGAGGAACTAAGAAAAATCATAGGGCAACACCTCAAAGGGCCGTGAACCAGGCGGCTCTAAGGCAGTGGTTCTCAACCTTCCTAATGCTGCGACCCCTCAATACAGTTCCTCATGTTGTGGTGACCCCCAACCATAAAATTATTTTCGTTGCTACTCTATAACTGTAATTTTGCTACTGTTATGAATCGTAATGTATCTTTTTGTTTTCCGATGGTCTTAGGCGACCCCTGTGAAAGGGTCGTTCGACCCCCAAAGGGGTCGCAACCCACAGGTTGAGAACCGCTGCTCTAAGGGATCAAGGAGGCCAGAGTCAGACCCTGTGAACCCCCCACAGAAGCTGCAGGTTTCTGAGGTTCCGGTGTGGGGACTGGCACATTCTGCTGTTGAAAGCAAGCTCCCTCTGGTGGCCAATATGGGAAGACTGGACTCGGAGACCCTGACTGGAGCTGGCAGAGGTTTGGGAGGGAGGGGAGATGGGCTAAATGGGTAAGAGAGAGGAAAGAGAGGAAAGAAAGGAGAGAGATGGGGAGGAGGGGCCAGGGAAGGGAGAGATAGGTAAAGGGGAGGAAAGGATAATGGAAGAAGAGGGAGGGAAGGGGGGCTAGGGTGGGATGAGGGGGGGAGGGAATGGGGTGAGAAAAGAGGAGAGGAATTCTGGTAGAGAGGAAAGGGGATATGGGCTGAGGGGAGAGGGGCTAAGGGGTTGGAAGAAAGGTGAGAATGGCTGGGGGAGGGGGAAGAGGGGTTGGGAGTGCCCAATACCCCACTGCCTGTCCCTCTTGGAGACCAGCTGGTTCGGCTGGAACCCCAGGTGGGCCAGAACCCCGCCAGGTGGACCTTAAGCCAGCATCTTCTTCCTGGACAGGGTGCAGGGTGGCAGCAGTCAGCCACCAAGGGTTCCTGAATTTTGGATGAGTTAGAAGGCCATCTCCATCTCAGCCGCTGACTCCAGTTACAGGGAAACTGGATGGAGTTCCGGCAGCCTGCCTGCCCGAGCCCAGCCCGAATCCAAATCCTCACCTGCTGGGCCAGCCGGCCCCTGTCCTCTGTCTTGACGCAGGTGGACTCATTGAAAATACGCAGGCACTCCTCCATGGGGTCCGAGTCAAAGTCAACCTCTTTCTCCAGGGCTGAATAGTCCACGTCTGTGCCCGCCCCCGAGGAGGAGGAAGAGGAGGAGGCAGAGGAGGAGGGGGAGGAGGAGGAGGAGGACGAGAGGGAGGCCTGACCAGCCTGGTCAACTGAGGGGGGCAGGGAGGCCTTGAGGCGCTTGTGTGGCCACCACATGGCTGAGAGGCCCAGGCTGGAGTCGGAGTCGGAGTCTGAGCTGGAGCTGAGACTGGGGATGGCAGAGGACCGCAGTCCAGGTGTCCTGGACCGTTGGTCCTCGTCCTCGCTCTCGTCCCCAAAGAGTTCTGCATGGCTTAAGGCCCTTGTCTGCAGATTACGGGTGGCCTGGGAGGCGCCCTCGTCCAGCGAGCGGGCCTTCCGCTCTGCGAGTTTCCCTGGTGGGGTCTTCCTGCCCGTCCTGTCTGGCAGCTGGGGGGTGTCCCCATGTATGGGGCTTGGCCCCGGCCAGTCAGGCCGGACTTTCCCTGAGCTGGCCACCAAGGTGGCCAGAGATGGCTTTTTCTTGGTCCCTTGAGGCAGCTCTACCCTGCGCCGGGCGCTGCTGGCCTGTGAGCCCCTCTTGTCCGCACGGGGCCTCCCATGTTCTCTGTCCTTACCCCTGTCTGTCTTCCGGACACTGTCCTTGGGGCCAGAGGCCAGTGGCACCCCACTTTTCTTTTTCTTGGGTTTTCCTTCCTTAGGTCCTCTGTGTTCTTGCAAGGCCCTGGCTAGGGAGTCAGACTTGGCCAGGGACACCCCACCGGGTCCCTTGAGAGGCTGCCCGAGGTCCCCCACATCATACTGCACAGCCATTTCCTTGGTCTCCCGCAGGCCGCCCTCCTCAGTCTCCTGAACCTCCCTGGAGTCCAGCTTCCCAGGGCCCTTGCTCTTGGTGCCTGCCCGAGCCCTTGGGGGGCTGGCGGTGGTAGGCCTGTCCCCTGGAGCTGTGGTAGCATCATCATCTGAATCAGAGAACCTGGCATCACAGCCACCAAAGGGGTCGCAGGGCTTCTTGAGCGCGGGCGTGTAGGGCTCGCTGCTGCCACGGGAGCCCCGGGGCCGCTTGGGGGCCCGGTCGTCCTTGGAGCTGGCCCTGCTAAGAAGCCGGGCGGAGAAGTTGGACAGCGGATCGTACTCCAGGTCCGTGGACGGCTTGGAGTCATCCACCACGTACTTGCCACTGGAGACTGGGCGGTTATACCGCTGGGGCTGGCTCACGGCCTTGGGGACATACTCCAAGGTGCCGCTGCCCCCTCCACTGTGACCCTGAGCCCGGTCCAGAGAGGCCAGCGAGTACTTACTGCCCGGCTCGGCAGGGGAAGCCAGCGGGGTGGGCTGGTAGCTGGCGTCGGGGTTTAACAGGTTGCTGCCACCAGGGTTGTAATCAAAGGACAGAGGGAAGGTGTCCTCGTCCAGGTTGGCGGCTGGGCTGTGGGGCACCAGGGCTGGGACCTCGGCTGGGATGTGCTCACGCGCCGTCTCCAGGAGCTCCTGGTACCGCCGCTGCTCCATCTCCACCTCGGAGCGTACAGCCTCAATGGCCTGGTTGACCAGCTCCAGCTCCAGGATGTCCGAGCGGGGCTCATCCCCTCTGCCCAGGGCGCCATTCTCCCTCTGTACGGGGGGCTTGGGCAGCTCTGGGTTGTATGGGTCATAACCAAGCCCTGGTATAGGAAAAGGGAGGAAACAGTGGTGAGCAGGCCTGTGAGGTAGTGGCCACTGCCTTGACCCAGAGAACTGGCCTTCCAGAACTTAGCGGGGGCCAGGTCTCCAGAACACCCTCACTGAGGCTCTGCCCACACAGCAAGGATCCCAGAGCACCCCTTTACATAGTCTCCAGCCCAGAGAGGCTGACAGGTGGGGCGAGGATGTGCAGAACCCTGGCCTCAGAGATAGCCACAAGGTCAAGGGACTGGCGTGGCCCCTGGGACAACAACTGGAGGGGTAGAGAGTGGACAGACAGGCCCATGAGATCCAGGAGCCAGGGTGAGAAGGCAGTGGGATTCCCACTATGCAGGCCCACACTGAAGCCACATCACATTGCTTCCTACAACTGGGGGTTGGAAATGGGGGTTGGGGGGCTGAAAGGATGGCATGGTGCAGGGGGCGTGACGCCCAGGGACAGGGCAAAGAGACACTCAATGGGGTGGGACAGGAGTGTGTGTGTAGCTCCCCCAGTACAGGGCTGGGGGTGGGAGGGGAGCAGGCAGCCCACCCAGCAGAGTCTGATGCGTACAGGGCTCTGTCCCACACACTGCCCTTAGGAAAGTCTGCTTGGCTGTGCCTGTGCCAGTGAGAAAATGGAAACCATGTGTCCACTGCTAAACAGCACTCGGTAGAAGGATACCCACACACTGTTAACGGAAAACAAGAGGCAGAAGGCAATCTATGGTATGATTCCATGGTCGTAAAAAAAGGAAGAAGTACTGAATGTTCAAAGAATGTCCAATAGTCAGAAATAGTCATAAATGCCTGTATCAATCTGCATAGCCCCACCCCCACCCCCACGGTTGTGGGGCAGATAATTCCTGTGCTGTATCTGGTTCTAGGGCACATTCTAGAGGTCAGCACAGCCCCAGTGGCACCAATGTAAGCACGAACCTCAAGGAAACTCACTTATGGGCAGAGGTGCAGACATTCTTAATGAAACGTGAGCAAATAGTGCCCTCTGAGAAAGGAGTAACGTACTGTATTCAAATATACCAATCTACCATAAATACTCCAGAATTTAAAGAGTGCTCATCACTAGAAATTCTATCAGACACAATTCTGCAGTATCTTTTAAAGAAAACGTCAATAGAGTTAGTTGGTCCCTGCAGCTGAAGAATGACAGCGATTCTCCTGGAGGCCTCCAGGAACCTGCCCTGCTCACACCTGGACATAGCCATGATGCTCAATGTGGACTGTTGGCCTCCAGTGAGTGGTGACCTGGTACAAACACAGCAGCTACAGCAGCCCCAGGAAATTCACGCAGCCTCATTTAGGGAGAAGCCCGTGTGGCTGGCTGCCCGTAGGTGACAACTTTGCAGAGGACAGTGGCTGGGCCTGGGCCGCCTGAGGGGAGGGGACCAGGGAGGGACAGGTTCATTGTAGGGGTGTCGTTCCTATTTTTAAAATTCTATTTGGAAAGAAGGGAAACATGTATCTATGTTTCAGACCATGGAGGGTACCCCAGAGCTGAGTGTGAGAAATGGGAGGTAAAACACCAGGGGACCCAGTGTCAGCAGCAAGGCAGGTGTCAGGGGCACTCCTAGTGCGGAGCAGTCACTTAATGGCCCCCATGTCACAGCTGAGGATGTGGGGCTTGAGAACCCTGGGGTCAGGACTCACAGCCCCTCTACCCTGGTGAGGGACAAGGTGAAATGAGTCCTGAGGGAAGACTAGAGACCCCGACAGGATCAAGGCTGCCCTCCCTCCCAGGCCACCCTGACCCAGGATGGGTCACAAGGCACCAACAGCAGACCCACCCCCAGCCTGGCACCCAGTGTGTGAACAGATAAGAGAGCCAATGAATGCCCTCTCCTCATCCCCTGCAAGTCCCGGCTACCAGCAGAGTGGAGGAGCCTAGGCTACCAGCCATGAGCTGGGGTCACTTACTGGGCATGTCCACAGAGGGGGTCAGTCGGTTGTACTGGGGGGCGAGGGGGAGGGGTGTGTGTGTGTGTGTGTGTGCGCACGCGCGCGCGCCTCCAGTCTACCCTACTGTACCTCTGTATCTCCCTTGTATGGCCAAGGTGGCTCCTGCCCCTCCCTGCCCTCCCAGTGGGGGATGGGAGCAAGGGCCTCCTCCAGGGCAGGTAGGTGGGGCTGATCAGGACACATGCACAGCCCACAAAGGGCCACAGGTCACATGTGAATCAGCCCAGAGGCCTCAGCCCTTTTCAAAGTCAGGAGGTCAGAGTGCAGAGCTCCAGGGATTTCTGATTGGAAAGGAAGGGGTTTCCTCAAGGAGCTTGTGCTTTGGAAGATGAGGCACTATACCCTGAAAGGGAGGCCTACTAAGTCCCTGAGGCTGCCTGGGGAACCAGAGCCTGAGCTCTGGCTTTCTTACTGGGAGCTTGTACTGGCATGTTTGTTTCCTAAGGGCCATTACACCACCTCTACCACCACCAGCCTCTAGGCTGCCCATGAACTCACTTGTCAGGTGGGAAGGGCAGTGCACTGGAGGTCTGAGCTGGCTCACTGGGAAGGGGCATAGCTCCTGGCCGGGGCACCCAGCCCTTAGGCTTAGCAATCAGCTATGCTAATGCAGGGCATCTTCAATCCCAGTTGGAGGCTGCCTTCCTCAAAACAAAAGAAACCACCCCAAGCAGGCCTGAGGCAAGGTCCTGATCCTGCCCCTCTGGGGCCTGTTTCCCCACTGGTATTTGAGCCTTCCTCAACAGCCTGAGGACCTCTATACAGGTCTGGAAGTGTTGAGCATACAGCTGCAAGGGGGCTCTGCTGCAGCCTGAGGCTTAGAGGTAAGCGCACAGGATCAGAGCTTGGTCCCTGAAGCAGGTGGCACCCAGCCCCCACAAGGTTACCTGAGGCGGGGAGAACACAAGCACAGAAAGTATTGTTCATGCCATCTAGCCTTCTGCCTCAGAAGGCCAGGTTCCCTGCCCCCAGGACCCATCGGAGCTCGAGAAGCTGCCCAGAAAATGTTTCTCAAGCTGTCTGGTGTCCTGGGGGCCCTGCCTGCCCACTGGTGGGGGTGTCAGAAGGCAACTGACAGGTGACCCTCGAGGTATGGGTGACCCTCGAGGTTGGGAAGGGCCATCAGCACCTTGGAAGGCATCTTCCAATTACTGGGGATTAATTTGGGTGAAAGTAAACATGCTCCTTTGGGGGTTCACACCAGGTAAGCGTGCCTCTGGTAAACAAGATTAATTAAGCTGTTTTTCAGAAAAAAGAACGATCTGGGAATGACTGGAAAAGCCCTCAAAGGTCTGTGGGCCTTACACTCTTAGGAGAAGTCAGACCCCTGGGCCTGGTTCCTGTCCCCCACTCCAGGGAAAGTGAGGGGCCAGCTGCTACCCAGCTCCATTCCAGGGATACCCACAAGGTGAAGGGCCTGCCTGGCAGTCACTTGAGGGATGTCCCTTGGGAAGGCCCCTCGCCAGGTCAGGGGAGGAAAAAGACGGCCCCCACTGCCCACCTTCACCTGGCCATCTGGCTCTGTGCACCCAGCACCCGCACACCCACCAGGACCTGGCCTGGCTGAAGGAGAGAACCGTACCTCTCCTGGCTGCAGGGCCACAAGTGGCTCCCCCAGTGACCTCACCCCAGTGACTCTCTGATCATCAGCTTCTGGGACAGACATCAGCATAGTGGACACCAGGCCTGCTTCCCCTAGCTTCTTGGGCGGTGGGACCCTGGGTGGGAAACCTGTATGGACATAGCTACAGAGCTGGGGAAAGGACGCCGCCAACCCCCAACAGGCTGACCCACAAACAAGACACATGGGAGGCCTTCAACAGGTCCTGGCAGCCACCTCCAACCCCTCCAGGCCTGGCGTCTGCTCCCATCACACCCTCTGCTCCAGAAAACTCCCGCACCCTTCCCTAACTGCTGCACGTAGAGTCAATGACAAGACATGGAGCGTGAAGACTCCACTTAGGGAGGATGTAACCCCACTGTCTCTGGTTTCTGAAGGCCTGGCCATCATCACCCACACCTCTTCTCTCCCTAGTCTGCCCAAGGTCTGAAGATAAGCCCAGGACTGCACAGGGGCCCTGCCCCCAGCTTTGTGTCTGGTAAAACATCAGCAGGGATTCCTCCACCAAACCAGGTGGTGGTCACAGTCTGCTGGTCCCTCCGCCCCCAGTGGCGTGGCAGGGACACCAGGAGGAGACACAGTCCCTGCTAAACAAGAGATAAGCAGGGACACAAGGGCTAGTCATGGTGGAGAGACTAGACCCACCCTGGGTGGCAGAGGTCTTAAGGTGGAGCCAGAAGACCAAGGACATTCCCTAAGGCCAAAGTGGTGAAACTGGCTTGGGCCCCTGGCCAGCTCGGCTCAGCAGGAATGCAGAGTGGCAGGCTGAGAGCTCAGGAGGTTAGGGCACCCCACATTTGGGACTTTTCTGGGACATCGGCTCTGGCCGACACTGCCCCCAAAGGCTACCCCCAATAGAGGGCAGAGTAGCCCCCCAGGTCCTCAGAGTCCAGCTGCTACACCTTCCATCCTGGCCCAGCTTCTCTGCTCCTGGCAGCCTCCCCCTACCCCAGTTCTGGACATCGGCGTGCCCCACCAAACAGGCCAGGAGCCTGAAGCCCAGGGGCGAAGGTACCTGGCCACTCACTCTGAACCAGAGAGAGCCCCACACTGCCCAGGGCACCTGACACCCAGAGAGGGAACAGGGCAGACACCAGGAACGTGCTCCCAGGTGTACATGGGGGACATCTGATACAAGTCACTGCTGAGGCTGGGCTGCGCCTACAGAAGCAGGGTCTGGGGCTCTCCTCCCCGCCTTGCGGGGTCCACCCCTGCCTCTGGGGCGGTTGACTGTCGCTGGAGGGCCCAGGACACACTGGCTCAAGGCTCAGACCCCGAAAGCCCCAGGGCTTTCTCTCAGCTCTAGAACCTCCACCCCAGAAGCAGTGCAAGGCCAGGGCCTCAGCGCAGGTGGCTCCACACAGCCAGCTACAAGGGAAGGACAAGAGGGTCCCGAGCCAGACC